GCACAACGTGGGGCCAGGAGCAAATCCCGGGGGGGCAGCGGGAGTGGGCGATGTCAGGCACCACCGTGGGGTGGGGGGGGACAGCAGGATCGGGGTGGGGGGGCTGAGATTTGTTTCCCAGCCGCTGCGTGAGACCGAGATACAAGTCAAAACTGCGGTTAATCCAGACTTTAATCCGCTCTAAATCCCACCTTTAATCTGTTTAATGCCACCTTTCAGAATTAGGATCCTGCACGGTGGCTCCTTCCCGCTGAGCGAGGAGGAGGAGGAGGAGGATGCTCTGACAGTCCCGATGCTGGGGAGCTCGGGATGGGGGTGCAAACCTCGGCACGGCTCTGTGGGACCACGGGGCTCGGGGGGGTCCCCAGCACAGGGACGAGTTGACAGCCACGACCCCCCCGGTTGCTTCACCCCAGCCTAGAAACCCCACCACAAGGCTGACAGCAGCCCGGGCTGCCCGCCTCGAAAGGGGGGGGGGTTTCCCACGACACCCCAGTGAGAAACCAGCCCTGCACCCACCCGTGGGGGCTGCCACCACTCGCCACCCACCATGCCAGACCCCACTTCCCCCAGCCAAGCGGCAGAGATGCCTGTCCCCGGTTTGTGGGGGCGGTAGCGGGTGGAGTGTGGGGGGGGGCGCGGGTTTAGGGTCTGGGGGCACCCCCCTCCCTTCCCAACCTCCCCCGCACCTCCCCCCCCCCCAACAGCCACCCCCACGCCCCAGCACGCTGCTCCCAGCAAAGGGCGGGAGAGGGGCGGAAAGGGGCCCGGTGCGGGGATGTTGGCACCGGAGCAGGCGTCCCGCGGACCCCCCACGCCGTCGCCCCCTTCCCACGGGTGTCGCACACCCGGGGTCCTCCACGCGCAGGCGAGAGGGGACTTTGCGAGACCCACCCCACCCCCCCCGGTGCTGCCCACGCTCAGCCCGGTCTATCAGCGCCCTCCTAAATTCTTGCTCAAAAGCGCTCCGGCACCTGGCCAGCATCCCACGCCGTTTCCACGCGTGACCGCCTCACCCACGCACGCCCCCCTCACCCACCCGGATCCCCGTCACCCAGGCGGCCCCGTACAGACCCGAGGGAGGCCCCCGTGCCCGCCACCGCCGTGCCCGATCCACGCCGCGCTAACGGGACGGGCCCACGCACGCCGTGTCCCGCAGGGCCGGGCCCGCCGCCGGTCCCTCTCCCCCCCCCCCCCCCGAGGCGGGGGGGGAAACCCCAATAGCGCGCTCCCATTGGCTGCTTCGTAGCAAGCCCCGCGTCGCCATTGGCTGGGGCCGCCCGTGGGTCCCGCCCCCACCGCCGCCGCGCCCGGCCCCGCTCGGGACTTCGCAGCAGCCGCGGGCGGGAGGCCCGGACCCGCCGGGCACCGGGCACCGGGCACCGGGCACCGGCTGCGGGGGCACGGCCGCGCCCGGGCAGGGAGAGGCGCTGGGGGTAAGCGAACCCGCCTCCCCCCCCTCCCCGGCCAGCCCCGTCCCGCCCCGCCGGAGCACCGGAGCAGCCCCGGTCTCGGCGCCGCGCTCCCCCGAGGCAGGCAGCAGGTAAGGGCCGGCCGGGCTCCGCTGCCCGCCGGTGCAGCGCTGCCGGGATCGGGCCCCTTCCGGTTCCACCGGTCCGTGGGGGGCGGGGCACTCGGTACCGGCGTGGCTCGTGTTTCCCACCCCGGGACCGCTAGCGGGACGAAGCCTTTCGTCCCGGGAGGCGAGCGCACCCCTCACCCCCGGGGCATCGGCCGTGTCCCCCCCCCCCCTCCCGGTGTCACCGGACACCGGCGGCCCCACCTGCCCCACGGGGCAACGCAGCCCCGGGGAGCCCCGAGGGGTGGGGGGGGATCGAGGGTTCAGGGAACCCCAAGGGGCAGGAGCTGCTGAGTGAGCAGAGCCCGGAGCTGTTCCCGGGAGCCCCTGGTCGTGCCTCAGTTTCCCCACGGGGGTAAAACACAGGGAAAGAGCGATCTCCCCCCACAAAACCAGTGGGAAATCCGAGGAGGGGCTGGGTCCGGTGGGCGACGGCTAACGGGAGTTTGGAGAAGGCACTGGAGCCCCCCCCGCCATGGGGACGCCTGCGGAGCCCACGTGCGAGAGCAGGGACGGGTGCCCCACAGCAGCACTCGGCACCGAGCATCGCCCCGTCTTTCCCCCGCACCCGGCCGCTGCCCGTCCCCCGGGCTCCAAAGGATGAAATTCCTCCAATCCCAGAGAGACGAATCCCATTGGGGAGGCTGGATCCTGCCGGGAGCAAGAGAGTTGGGTGTAAAACTTCCCAACTCCCACCCACCAAAGCTCTGTCAGCTCTGGAGCAGGGAAGGATTTGGGCCATAAATATTCTTTGCCGACCTCAAGCCCAGCACCGGATCCAAATTGTCCCGTGGAGCTTTTCTTCCCTCCCGGAGCAGCTTTGTCCTCGCCGATCCCCCGGCAGGAAGCATGTGATGCACCAAGGCCCCCGCCACGGGACGGATGGACAGACGGACGGTGGTTTGGCCTCTGTTTTTCCCCCCCTCATCTCCGTTTTCCACTTCCCCATGAGTCTCCTGAGCCTCCGTCTGCTCCAAAAGAAGGAGAAAGGAAGTCGCTGCTGGAGCGAGCAGCCTGATGGCAGCTTGGTAAAGAAAAGGAGGAAATGGAAGGCGAGACAGATGCTTCAAAATAACCCCCCCTTCCTTCTCCTCTCTGTAAAATAACCCCCGCTTCCTCCTCCTCCTCTCCCTGCTGCAGCTGCCTCCCCCCTGGAGCACAGTAGTCCCGGGGGAATTCCTTGATATGGCACTGGCTCAGCTCCCCCATCCTGAATCAGCACAAGGCAGCACCCCGGGGATTGCACCGGGGGTACCCCCCACCCCCGCCGGAGCAACTGTGGTCGGCACCTCTCCGTGTGCCAGGATCCCGTTCCCATGCGGTGCCGGCAAACGGGAAACGCCGGCGGGATTCACCACCCACGCTTGGGGTTGGCATCGCTGGAGCCCCCTCGGATCGGCCGCTCGGCTCTTTGCACAGACACGTCGGAGTTGCCGGAGCAGATCGGCGTTCCCAGGCATCGGTGCACGCTGGATTTGGTGCAAAGGAGAAACCAAAAAGCTGCTGCTCCTTCCCACAGGTGCCGGGGCTGCGAATGCAGCTGTGGCGCGGGCACCTGCGGGAAGGAGAAAATGGGATGGGGGGAAGTTCAGATCCCGGTGCCGGAGGTGGTGGGGACAATGCTGGGGACATGGCCGAGCGCTTGGCAGCGCCGCTGGCGCGTGTGCCAGGAGCGAGCGGAGCGAGATGCACCGTGCGGTGCCCAGCCGAGGCGCTGCCAGCGTTCCCTGCCTCCTTCCCGGAGCCGTGCTGGCCGCGGGTTTTGCCATCCTTGCCAAGAAATTAGTTTTTCCTCAGGCAAGGTGTTTACTCAGTGGCTTCCTCTCTGGCCTCACCCCGCTCGGCACACACGCGCCGGACCCGGCGGCTCTCCGTGTTTGCACCCATGGCAACGTGCGAGGGACGGCTATTGCAAAAGGCGGTGCGCGTCCTTCCTTCTCCTCCTCCTCCTCTTCCTCCTCTGCTGCCCCAGCGCTGGTAAAATGGGGTCTGGAAGCTGGCGGGGTCACGGGCGGTGGGGGGACGGGCTGGTGACGGCGGTCAGGCTCTCCGGTTACATCCCCGTGCCACGCCGGCGCTCCGACCCGTCTCCTGTAATCCAGCGCGGCGGCAGGTTTTAATTAATTAATAGGGGTTGGAGGCACAGGGAGCTGGTGGAAAGCGGTGGCGGGGGACAGAGAGCAGAGCAATGGGATCCCATCTACCCCTCCTTGTGTTTGGCCAAGGGTTTGGGGCGGCCGGGGATACTGGGGTGCAGAGCCAGGGATGTTTTCCAGAGCAGCGGGAGGAAACGACATGTGGGATGGAGGGAAAACTGGGGAGATGTCCACCATTAAATATTTACCCTAGCTGGGAAGATGATGCTTCTGTGTCGGAGGAAACTTGTAGCAAGACAGCTACAAGTTAATATGGCCCTGGAGGGGAGGAGGAAGAGGAGGAGGAAGAGGAGGCAGAGGTGCCTCTGTTCTCAGCTGGAGCTTTGCGGAGCCCTCCCCTCACACCACATGCTTGCTCTGTGCTGCTCCATAAATCGTTTAAGTGCTTTTATTTTCCTGTGTGAAATATTCAGCCTGGTGCCAGGGGAGTCGGGGGGGGACTCAAATGGGACACACGAGCACACAGAGCCGCTGGTGGGCACCCGGTGACTGGGACGGTCGGGGAAGAGCAGGTAGAAATTACCCTGGGATGGCATCGCTGCTGGGTTTGGCCCCTGTGGTGTAAATGAGCTGCTCACGTGGCGGCTCTGCCACGGCACGTGCCAGCGCCGGCGGTCCCAGGTGCTGGCAGGATGACAGGGTCTCATGTTCCACCCCCCTCACCCCCCTGCAAACCAGGAGCTTAAATTGATGCTTTTTATTGAGAGAGCCGGACTCTGCTCTTGCTTGCGCCCGCCGTGGTGTAGGAGATGTTTTACAGGGGGGGGGATCCCCGTGGGATGGGGGCTGAGGTTGCAGCTGGGTGTTGGATGAGATGCTCGTGGGTGCTGGTCAGGTGGGGAGGAACGCCAAACCTGCTGGTGGAGGTGCTGGCGGGGCTGCCCATCCTCTGCCAGCGCTGGATTTGGCCCTCGGCGCGGCTGGGATGCTGCTGTGCCCCGGTGCTGGCACCCGTCCGTCCCCAGGGCAGGGACTTTGCCCATGTCACCTCATCCCCATCCAGATGTCCCAACCTTCAGCCGAGCCCTCGCACCCACCGCTGTGAACCCCACCCTGAAACCTGCAAAATGGGTGGAAACCCCCCCCCAAAATGGGCGGTGACTGTCCCCAAAGCCACCGTTGGGACCACAGCCCCACCGCGCTCTTCCGGAGCAGGGAGGGACTCAGTGAATGCAACACCCGGCTGCTCTGTTTTGGTAGAAGAAGCTGGTTTTTGAGGGCGTTTTCATTAAAAAGAAGAAGGGGGAGAAAAAAAAAACAAGTCCTGAGCAGGGCTGGAAACTTCAGCGACAGGAAGGAAATGGGGTGGTTTATTTCAGTCTCGAGTTTGCTCGTCGGGGCAAGGCTTGCCTCTTCCGCGCGCCGATAGCAGCCCCTCCACGAACAATGGGGTCGCGGGGCCCTTCCCGGCAGGAAAACGGCTCGTTCCAGTGAAATCTCCCAGTTGGTGCTGAGTCAGCAGGTCCTGGTGGGACAGAGCGTGGTGCGGAGGGTGCTGGGTTAACCGGCCTGGTGCTGAGCGGGAGCGAATGCGCTGGGAGGTGAGCTTGGGTTTCCTTGGGGTTTGCAGCCAGCGACCTGCAAAACAGCCCACGGGCGCTGGAGAGGGAGAAGGTCATGTTTTTAGGGTCCAGGAAAGACCCCCAGCCACTGCTTCGTGCCTCAGTTTCCCCCCACGGGCGGGAAATCTCCCCAATCCTTGGCAGGAGGAGGCTGTGGGGCAGCCAGGCGTTATTCGGTGCCAGGAGTGGAGGGTTGATGTTATTACAGTCGCTAATTGGGAGCCGTGGGCACGCGGAGCAGCTCACAGGAGCCGGCGCTTCCTATTTTTTTATGGGCTCCACAGGTGGGGTTTGCACTCACTTTATGGCTGTGGTCGCCCAACAGATTGCTCAGGTGTGGGAATTCCTATTTTTCTCGACACCGCTCCCGGCAGGGGAGCCCAGGGCACCCCACAGCCACGGTGGGACGCAAAGGAGGGGACTTCCAGGGTGCCAACACCACGGCAAAGTCCTGCTCGGAGGAGGCTGCCCGCCATGGGCAGAGCGAGTCCCCCGTACAGCCAAGGGAGAGAAGATTTAGCCACGCTGCCTCTGCCCATCCTGCCCGTCTCCCCAGGCTCGGCTCCGGCAGCATCTCGTGCACGGGGCCATCGGCATTAAATGAGCCCGACCCGCCTGGGAGCTGCCGACAGCTCTGCAAATGCAGCCACTGCTTTGTCATTTCTGTCTTATTAAGCGCGAGAGCCTCAGCTCGAAGCTCACGCTGGCAAAAATCAATGTTTTCACGTCGAAGGAAATACTTCCAAACCTCTGTGTTTTTCCTAAGGGCTGTAAATAACGCTGCATGCGGCGGCTCGCATGGCACCGGTGACGGCAGCTCCGTTACTGCTCGCTTAATTCACGCCCTCGCAGAGCCTCGGCCGCCCTCGGGGAGCCGGCGGCTGGATGGTGCTGGGGAAGCCGGCGCTCAGCTTGCACCACTGCCCCTGCACCATCGCCCTTGCACCATTGCTCTTGCACGACCGGCTGCAGTGAGACGGAGCCTTGGCCACGGCGGGGTACCCGAGCCCCGTGGGAAGCCGGGGTTTGTCCCGAGAGCCCAGTGTGTGCTCCGTGGTGGTAGGGGCGAGATCAAGGATCCCCGTGGTGGCTCAGCTTTGGGGGGGATTTCACAGGGCTGCCCCCAATGGGGACAGACTCGGTTCTTGCACTGGAATAACCCTAACTTTCCCCTCTCTATCCTTGGCCAATTTATCCCCCTCCATTCTCACACCAGCAGCATCCTTTAGCTTAAATAGCTCTTCTCCCTCGCTGGTGACGTATTTATAGCGTGATCCCATCCCTTCCCTGCTCTTGCTTTGCCAGGCTGACCGTGCCACGTGCAGGCTCTTGCATAAGCAACCCCCATCTCTGGCCATCCATCCTGGCGCAGGAGCCGGTTGTTATCATGCTGTTCTCGCCTCCCCCGTGATTTGTAGCTCTGCGATTTCCCGGGGCAAGATGCATCTCCAGGGTCAGTGGCATTTTGTTCATTCACGGCGGTTTTTGAAGCCATAATCTGCCCAAGATGATTGATTTGGTCCTGCTGGCGTGGGGGGAGTCAGGCTGTAGGTGAGCAAGGGGTGAGGTTTCTGGCTTGCTGAATTATTCACCTCCGTGCGATGCTCGTGCCGGCTCTGGAGGAAGCCGAGATGGTGGCAGAACGAGTCCAAGCTCCGACGGCGTGGGCATACCAGGGCAGGCGGTGCCGGAGAAAAAGGCTTCGACACGTGTTGGTGGGTGCTGCAAAGTGGCCGTGCCGCTCCAGCCTCGGTGAGCACCGGGCTGTACGCCAGCACGTGGCTGTGCCCGCTGCGGTGGGTGACTCAGCCATCACCTGGGCTGTCCCCAGCTCACCCTGCAGGAAATGAGTCACGTTTTAAGGAAGAAAAAATGTTAAAATGATGGGGCAATAGTCCTTCCTGCACCAGGAGGAGGGCAGCACCAGTCACAGCTGGGAGAAGGGGGTGGAGGGTCGCGGACAATTCCCAGGTAGGGAGACCTCGCTCGCCCCCGATGCTGCCCGTCGCGCTGCAGCATCTCCCCAGAGCTCGGGGGAAGGAAGGTGGGAACACCCTGTAACTCATCCCACCAACAAAACCTGGGGCGTGAGTTCAGCTTTCGCCTGCCTCAGCACCCAGGAGCTTGCCATGGGCCAGAGATGCTCTTTCTCCTTCCAGAAGGCTGCGTGGGGAGGAGAGGGGATGGGGACCGACCGAGGGCATGGGCTGAACTGTGTGTGTGTCCCTCTTCCCTCTGCAGAGATGGACACCTTCAGCACCAAGAACTTGGCCCTGCAGGCCCAGAAGAAGCTCTTGAGCAAGATGGCTACCAAGACCATAGCCAACGTCTTCATTGATGACACCAGCAGCGAGATCTTGGATGAGCTCTACCGGGCCACCAAGGAGTACACCCACAACCGCAAAGAGGCCCAGAAGATCATCAAAAACCTCATCAAGATCGTCATGAAGCTGGGCGTGCTCTACCGCAACGGGCAGTTCAGTCCCGAGGAGCTGCTGGTGATGGAGCGCTTCCGCAAGAAGGTGCACACCTTAGCTATGACGGCTGTCAGCTTCCACCAGATAGACTTCACCTTCGACCGCAGGGTCATGTCGGGCGTGCTGACAGAGTGCCGGGACCTGCTGCACCAGGCTGTCAACGGGCACCTGACGGCCAAATCCCACTCCCGCATCAACCATGTCTTCAATCACTTTGCGGACTATGAGTTCCTCTCGGCTCTCTACGGGCCATCCGAGCCCTACCGCACCCACCTGAAGAGGATTTGTGAAGGGGTTAACAAGATGCTGGAGGAGGACAACATATGAAGTTGGCCAAGACGGGCCATTGGCAGTGACTGCTGGACTCTGCCTCCTGTGAGACCGAGGATGGGACGTATGCCTGTTTTGACCACCATGAGGCTTGTCGTCCTCTTCTCCTCTGTAGTGCTAACTGATTTTCTCCTCATTTCTACAAAAGAATGAACTTCTTGACTTTGTCTAACCCTTGCCCGGGGTCTGCAAACCCTCCCTGCACTGGGCTTGAGTCCTTTCCAGGTGATCCTGGGCCTCTGGGCTCCTGCTGTACAGTTTGATTTCCTTTGCCCACCAAGTGCTCTTAGCTTAGAGTCCAAGGAACTGGACTGCTCACCTTGAACTCTATTGTAACTCTCCCGGGGGAAAACCAAACCAAAGACTCGTGGTGTGTTAACACCTCTAAGCGGGTGGGCAGTTGCTTGGATGAACGGTTGTGAGACCCTAAGACCAACAGGTCGTGGAGCCCCATGGTTTGTCTTTCAGCAGCTCCATGACATGATGGGAGCAAACCACGGGCCAGGCTCGTGCTGCCCAGGGTAGGAAGGCTAGCATGGGCTTTGGCCTCCTGAAAGACAAGTCCTTGACACCAGAAAGATCCCACCTTGCTGTCCCTTGGGGCTGGAGGGACCCACTCCTTCCCTGCACCCCAGGCACACCCCTTCATCCAAGACCCAACTCCCCCCACCAGCCTCCCGGGACGGTACCACCGCAGTGGCTCTGAAGCCTTCCTCCGTGGTTGTCCAAAGCTCTCCCTAGGTTTTCATATGTTTTACGTGTCCTCGACTGAGTTATGATTGTTATTTTTTAGCAAACTCTGTAGCCCTGATGAGTTATTTAAATAAACTCACCTGTTTGGCCTGGGTGCTTCCATGCGGTTGTTACAGAGGCGGTTGCCAGTGATAAAATGAGCGCTGGGGGCAGTTGGTTTTGTCTTTTAAATGGCAATTTCTCTCTGCAACCTGGGGTTTTTACTCTCCATTCCCTGGCATCGCTGCCGGCCAGGCTGCCCCTGCTCCGTGGCACAGCAGCTCCCAGCTTTGCATGGCCGGCGCTGAACTGGTGGGAGGAAACATGGTACAAAACCCAGCACAAACCGATGGCAAATGTCTGGGGTCCCAGAAGGGAGCAAATTCTGCTCCCACACAGGCACCCACACGTGCTCCTCTGCAGCCCTGTGTCCCCTCGCTGCACAGCGGGAGCTGGAAAAGCACAACCCTGATAGCAGCAAGCAACGGGCAACTTTGCAGAATTCAATGCAGGCACGTTGTAAAAGCGCTGTGCTCTCAGAGCGTGGATGCACCCGCCGTGGCCCGCTTCCAACATGCTGATCGGGGCTCTGAGCACCGAAAATTGCCCTTTTTAGCATACAAGACGCAGCACAATCTCAGCCGGCCTTATCTCCGCGACCTTCTTGTGCCTCCTGTTCCATGGGATGTCTCCAGGCACGGGAGGCTGCCAACGCTCGCGGGCAGAGAACGGCTCCACGGCTCCCGTTCGCTGCTCCCTTTCCACCGCTGGCTCGAGGCACCGATAACTTTCAGCCTTAAAGATGAAATAAAAGAAATAAAGCCCCTATCTCTGTGGTTTCACAGGCCTGGCTGCAGCGATCGCAGCTAATTGAATGGCGCGGCGCAGCCCGGGGCGGGGGGTGAAGCACATTTACAGGTGTGCATGGAGAAGAACACGGCCAAGGTCCACCGAGGTGTTGGTCCCTTGGAGGGGGACAGGGCGAAGTCGGTTTTTGGCGCTTGGCATTTGAGAACAGACGTTCCCGTCCCCGCCGGGCTCGCGGCAGCTGTCAGGCGTGTGCTGAAGAGGAGCCGGAGCTGGGAACGACTCGGCGGAGTTACCGGCAGATGCGGCGAGCAGGCAAAGTGGAACGGGGCTGACGGGTGCGGCGGCGGCACCGACAGCCAGAAACGCTTCGCTGGGCTGTTCTCGAGGCGCGTGTCAGCACCAGCTGCCAGACGCTCCTTAATTGCATGAAACATCTCTGCTCAGATGAGCCCCGGCTCACGGCTGTTCCCTTTGTCCCCAGGGTTTCGTACACCCCAGGACCACACAACCCACCAAACGCCCAGCACCAGCTTTCCCTCACGTCCTAATCTGTAATTTCTCCCCTCACGGCAAACACCCACCTCGTTCCCAAACTTTTTTTGTCTTGGAATTGCCCCGGACAGCGCACACGCTGCTAGAAAAGCCGTATTACAGCCTGCGTTTCCCATCCCAACCCTGGCTGTACAAGTCTGGGACAAACGAGCCCCTGCAACTCCCTTTGGTCTGGTTCTCTCCAAGCGACTGGTTAAACAGGGAGGAAGGTCAGAGACCTGCAACATCAGCACCCTAAGCTTGGAGCTCGGGTAGGAGCACACTGGGGACACTCCTGGGCCCTGCAGGTTATCTGCAGATCCAGGAGCGGCACAGCGGAGAAAGAAGCATTTATGAACAGCCTGCAAAGGAGAGCTTGTAAAATCACCAGTGCAGAGCACCCCCAGACTGCCGAAAAAATAGGAAACTCCCCCCCCCACCCCGCATGGGCAAAGCAGCCATCAGCGTCCACAACCATCACCAGGCATCAAAAGCACTTGTCATGACAGTGCTGGGTTAAGCAAACTTACAGCTGGAGCCTTGTTCTCACGTGCTGGGACTCCCCTCAGCTGGGGGAACCCCCATAAAGCCTCTGCAGCCTCCAAACTCCCCTGTGACATCTTGGCTCCTCCCGGCCAAGGAAACGCCGAAGGCCACGCCGCTCCCTGGGCATCCAGTTGGAGAGGACAAGAGTCACAGAGCAGAGCAAACTCAGGCCAGAGCACGATGCTTTATTTCTTTATTTGTGTTGTATTTACACAGGAAAGGAATTCCACATTCCCTCACTGTTATTACTCTAGATAAGAAAAAAATCACTTCTGTACGTAGAAAATAGTCCTGCAGTTGTACTGAGACATGAAAGTGTTGCTCGGATTGATTCCTGAGTTGTGTCAGAATAAGCAGCTCTGCCTTCCCCACATCAAGTTATCCCAACCCGCGCTCTGCACTAGGACAGGTCCAGAACATCCTCCCCAGCAAAGCCAGCTCTGGTCTTCGGTAGCTGCACTCCACAAGGAGTCAGACAGCTTTGGCCAACTCCATCCCTTCCTTCCCCCTCCCACCCAATTTAATTATTTCTTCCTGTCGTGCTTGCAGAGAAAGAAATCCTGTCTCCCCTCCAGAGACTACAGAGTTAACAACTTTCCTTTAGCAAACCATGTTTAAATCCAGCCACTTATCTTTTTGCATTGCTCTTCCTAGCAAGGGAGATAAGGAGCCCCCATTCAGGGAAGCTTCACCATGTTCAGCAGATCAACCAAGCAGAAAGCGGGTGACAGAATGGCTGGCTGCAGATCAGGAGTCTCAGAGGAGGTTTCCAGCTGCAAAGCACACTGTTACTCTGACACAAGACAGAATGCATCTGTCTTAACACCTCCAAGCCTCACTTGTGTTGGACCCGAGCACATTTCAATATGGAAAACATAAAAGGTTTGGCCAACCAAAAAAACCCGCAGTTAACAAGTAATTCTCTCTAACTGCCATGCTCTTCCAGCCAAAACACCCGACCCCAACACTGGCCTCGGGGTCACAGCTCGTCACGGGGTGTTTTTGCTACAATCATGAGTTTGGACAGTTCAAAACGGAACTTGCCGTCCCTGTGAGACACTAGAAAGAGAGAAAACAAGCAGAGGATAAACAGATGGTAAGGCATGAACAAAACAGCCCTGTTGGTTCCCTTCCAGGACGATAAAGCCAGCGAGTCGGGCATTGCACTTCCTTCTTATGCATGCGACAAGCATGTTGTGATAATCCCGTTCTTCCCCCATGCTAATTTAACATTTACACTGGAACGGGACCTGCAAAATCCTGCTGCCAGCTGTGGATCAAGAACACTATACCCCTGATTCCATAACATGCACTGTCCTCCTATCTGCATTAACCTTGAATACTCATTTCCTGGTAGACAGCCAGGCCTGTCTCCCACACCAGCCCCTTTCTCACATAGTTCTCTCGGTCACAGACCTGTTGTTTCGGTGATTTCAAATTCTTCCTGTTTTAAGGGGATGTCGCTTTGTCCACCCACTGCAGCTTGAGACTGAAATGGGAAGGAAGAAGGTTTAAGCAGTTGAGGCAATCCAAGAAGCTACTATATTTAAAGCAAACAAACAAACAGCAGATTTTGAAAAAGAACAAATTTGTGTTTTAATAACATGGAGTGAAAGAATTAAATCCACAAAGGAAATGTGAAGGAAAATCTCTGGCTATTTTTCCATTTCCTATTAAACCATGAACTTGTCTCCTTCAGGTGACTGAAGGCCTCACCACTGGGAAATGGAAGAATGAACCAGACAAAAGCACCAGTAGAGGTTTTATTTACTTTGTCACATGCAATTTGTTGAGGTAAACCAAGACCCCTGGTGCAGTACACCTTGGCAGGATGGTGTCTTCTGGAGTCACCGGTGCTGGCAAAGCCAGCAACAAACCGATGGTGTTGAGGGAGCAGAAATAAAATGGTGCACAGGAGCCTACCTGCAGCCACTCTCCTGACTGCCACCACTTTCTAATTAGGGATGCGATGGAGGACGTTTTATTGCACAGATGTCTAATAAATGTTTTCCATGTGCAATTCATGTTTTATAGCAGCCTCCTACATGCCTGCTTCCAAGTGATCAGCTGGGACTTACATAAGCCATGGCATACTCTATCTTGGCTCCTTTCACTTCAGCTTTAAACTGGGTAAAGAAGAGATACGACTTCCCCTGGGGCCTGAAACAAGAAAGCAGAGTCTTTGGCACTGGCAGAGAGGGTAGAGGTGCAGATGAGCTCAGGATTCGTGGCTTCCTACTCCCACAACCACCTCTATCTCTCTTGTAGTTCCTTCTAGTGAGGAGGGTGGAGAGGGGGGAACACAGCATTTATAAACCACTGCCTGGCTAAAGAGCCCACCCAAAGTCACAGCGTCTCTCGGGAGAGGAAAGCCCTCCGGTGCTGCCCTGCAGAGAGGCAAAACCAAGCCGGAGGCAGGGTCCCTGGCCCAGATCCCACCTGCCTTATGGTTGCTTTTGCCTCAGAGAGTTTGGGATTAAAGAACACACCTCCAGATGGAGCAGGAGAAAAGCAGGTTGTCTTCACTGACTCCAATGTTCATCTGCCATTGCTGCAGAGGGGAAAGGTCCAAAGAGTTAATGTGGGTAAAAGCCTCGGTCTTCCTGCTCACTCCCAAGGCCAGTCACCTCCCCTCCCAGCTGCAGGCACGACAAGTTTCAACCACTCTAAAATAACACACCCTAAGTACACAACCCTGGCTAATGGCCCCTTTTACTTTACATTGCACAAAGGTTGTGCAGTTGCCCTCTCTCCACAATTTCATCAGTACAGTTATGGAAAAGAGTTAACATCTCATTTCCCTTTACGCTAAAAGAAAAGGACCTGATTCTAACAGGACTTGCAGATAACAAAGTACAAACTGTGTATCTGCACAGTACTTACTGCAGCAGCAATACGAGCTGCAAAAAACTTTCAAGCCTCCTAAAGAAGGCAAGAGTTACTCCTATGAGGTCCTTCCTACCAACTGGGGTATGAAAATGTCACTCCCTGTTCTCCAGAGACATCCAGCCCAGAGATCTCTTAAGCCTTACAAATGTCACAGCCTCATGAACCACTGCATCGTTGCAACACGCGAAGGACGCTTCCATTCAGGGAGCAAATCCAACAAGTTACTTTTGCAAACATACAGCACTGAAAATGGTGCAACCCTCCTTCCTCACAGCTCCCGGTCCCTGGAATCAGCTTGTCACGAACGAAATTGTCCTGAACAGCTTCTCACGCTGTGCAAGCTGTAGAGAGCAAATGTAAGGGAAACGCTCAGAGGTTTGCCCAACTCACCTCGTTCGTTCCTCCCTGAGCTGAGTATGTGAAGGTGCAGGTGTAATCCCCCTGGAAGAAAAGAAAATGATGAGCAACCTCACTCGAGCAAGATCTTCTCTTTGTTCACCATCAGCCGCTTCTCGGCGGTAACGTGAGATCTGGTGACACCCGAGGGAATCACAAGGCCTGCGGCACAGTGCAGCCCCCCGCGGTCTCGCCCAGGGGTGCCCAAGGAGGAGCGTGGGCCACGTCCGCGTCCGGACCCCGGCAGAGTGCAGAGCCAGGGACCCCACGACCCTCATCCCCCGTGGGGTGTCAACAGGACCCTGTGGCCAGGTTTCCTGTTCTGGGGGACCCCAGGCACCCACCGTCCCCTTCTGCATTGGGCCCCTTCCCCTGGGCAGTTCTCCTTCCCAGGGGGACCCCTCCCTCCCCTTGGGGCACCTCCTCCCTTTGGAAACCCCCTTGGGGATCCCCTTCCCCGGGGGCCATTCTCCATGGCGAGCCTCCCTCCCTGGGGGTCTCCACCACGGAGACAATCCCACCTCGGGGGGCCCATTTTCCTCGGGGACCCCTTCTGCCGAAGACATACACACACACACACACGCCCGCCCCACACTGGGGACCCTCTTCTGCTTGAGGACCCCCTTCTCCGCGGGGGCTCCCCCTTCTCCTTGGGAGCCTCCTGCCCTTGGGGATCCCCGTCCCTAGCGACACCCCCCCCCCCACGCCACCTCCATCAACTCGTCCCGCCTTCCCTCGCTGGCAGCCAATCCCCGTGGCGGGAGGCGGGAGCGACGTGCCCCGCGGCCAGTCGGGGCGAGGCGCGTACCCTCTCCTCACTCCCTCCCTCCTCGCCCCTCACCAGGCTCCGGGAGAAGGAGTGAACCTCCCCGCCGGGCCGCACGTCAAAGTCGGCCGCGCTCTGCTCCTCCGCGGCGCGGGCCGCCAGGCACAGCAGGGCGGCGGGCACCAGCGCGGCCCACAGCGCCCAGCCGCTCCTCCCGCTGGGCGCCGCCATCTTGGGAAGGAAGCCCGGGCTACGGCGGCCGGGAGGGGTCAGCGCGGGCAGCGGCCGCTCAGCGGGCGCCCCGGCGGCCATCTTGGGTGTGGGCAAGGTGCCCGGGCAGATTAACCCTTCGGGGGCCGCGGCCCACCTCCTCAGCCCGGGCCCCGGCGGCCACGCTCTGCCGTGTGGGTGCTCCCACTGGGGGTTACGGGGTAGCCATGGGGCATTTTGGGGAGCCCAGGCGGGGTCCCAGGTCCCTGCAGCGCCTCCTGCCCCAGCTCACCCTCGAGGCTGCGGAGCTGTGTGTGCGGGGCACCAAACCCCCCCCACAGTTATTCGGGGGGGGTGGGGGGGAGGAAATAAAAAGCAGGGTAGGGCGAAAGGTTCGTTTTCTGCCTTGTCACGCAGGTTTAATGGGGTAAAAACCTGTTTGTTTGTTAGTTTGTTTTAAAGAGCTAGATGTGCAGGGGCTCGGCCGCTGCAGGGTCGGATAGAGCTGCAGCCACAGCCAGAAAATCCATCCCTGACTGGTGGCATTTGGGATTCAGCTGGAAAGAAAAGGGGCCACAGGAGGGGAAGGAAAGGGCCAGGCTGGGAGGAAAGGCGTGGAGAAATCGCCGCTCGCCGAGCATCTTGTGGAGGGAGCTTTGCCTTCCCCACCAGGAACAGGAGAAGCCTCGCCTCCGCCACCAAACCCTGCCTGGCCACCCATTTGCAGGCGCAGAGCGATTAGCTGTGCCACTTTTAATTGCTCCTCACCGCACACAAACAAAAGCCCTTTTCCAGAAGGAAACAGCCGTGGATCCGCAGCCAGGGTCAGGGAGAGATGCCCCCGGGGAGGGAGGGATGTCCCGGCTCACAGCACAGGGAAGCTGGCCTGGTTGGCCACCCCGCACTGGTTGTCGGCACCCTTCAGCAGGCGGATGTAGCCCTGCTCGCCCCAAACCTCCGACCAGCTGGAGGAAGAGATGGAGAATGAGCACATCCACGTTCCCACACACGGAGAACCGGCCCTGCTTGGGGAGGGCGAGACGGGCACGGGAGCCAGAGCACCCCCTGGGACAGGGATGCTCCTGCCACGCAGCAGGAAAGGGGGGACAGGCTGTGCCTGTGGGGTGAAAGGGGCAGCAGGTTTGGGGGCCACCCTTAGCTCCTACCTGTTCTTTAAGATCCAGTAACTCACGTTGCGCCCAAGCTCCTGGCTTGTTCCGTAGCCCACGGCCAGCATCCCGTGGTTCACCCGCTGGCTGCAAAACATGCTGCTAAAGATGCCTGGGAAGAGCAGAGCTGAGGTGAGCCGCGGGCCAGCCCTGATCACTTTTTTGGGTGAAAGTAGGGTGGTGGATCCTATGCTGGGGAAACTCTGGGGCTCAACAAGGGCTCAGCAGCCCACCCTTTGCAGCGAGGGAACCCTGCCTCAGTTTGCCCTTCCACACCACAAAGAACGAGACGATACCCGACTTGTAGAAGTGGAAGTGGAAGCCGCTGGCATCCACCGCCACAGACACGGGGCCCACGGCTGCCACCGCCTGCTCCAGCGCCGCTTCACTGCCCTGGGCTACCAGCCAGATGGCAGAGCAGTTGGCTGCCCTGTCCCGAGGGTTGTATTGACAGCTGGAGGTGTCCTGAGGGAAGGGAGAGCGTGACACCGGGGCTGGGACCCACCAGCACCGTTCTGCCGTGTCCCCGGGGCCACCTGCCATCCCTTACCGTGGCCACGTAGGGGTAGACGTGCTCCGAGTTCAAGCCACCATTGTCACGCACGTACTGGAAGGCGCGGGTCATGTAGCCGCCGTGGCAGCCGTTGTTGCCCAGCTTTCGTGAGCAGTCGATGAGGTTCTGCTCGCTCAGCACTGCCAGCTTCCCCGTCCAGTTGAAAACGAGCCCCTCCAAGGCTCCCGTGGCACTGAATGCCCAGCATGACCCGCAGTGCCCCTGGGTGAGATGGGGACAGCAGGAGGGTCACAGCCTTGACCTGAAACCTGCTGGAGAAGGATGCAGTGACCCTCCAGTGCTGCTCTCCAGCACCTCAGCTGCAAAACGGCAGCAGCCAAAACTATGGGAGCTGCTTCTCCGGGTTGCCCAGAGATTTTTTGGTGCTTGGGAGGATGATGCTGCTTGTTTTCTGCTGCCCAGCCTCTGGGCACCCATCGCAAAGCCCTGGCCAGCCCCCACCCTGTGCCCACCTGGTTCTTCACCGGTGTCACGTAGCCCTTCGCCCGCCAGTCCACCTCCGCTGGGGTCTTCAGGGCCACTGACGCTTGGAAGAGCCGCGCCGGCTCCTCCCGCCACGCTGGGGTGAAGCCATTCAGGAGCTGGTTGAACTCCTCATCCGTCTGCAGGTCACCGAGGGAAAACTCATGTGATACCACGAGCGCCCGGCTGGCAAAACGCGGCTCCCCACCAACCAGTTGACCCCCAGGAAACATCCCAGCCCCAGGGGCACCTGCAGCTCCCAGCAGAACGGGTTGGGGGTAGCCCGTCCCCAGATCAAGCCCTGGGCGCATCGGGAGGTCCCTGGTCCCCAGATCAAGCCCTGGGCGCACAGGGAGATCCCTGGTCCCCAAATCAGGCCCTGGGTTCATCGGGAGGTCCCTGGTCCCCAAATCAGGCCCCGGGCGCATCGGGAGGTCCCTGGTCCCCAAATCAGGCCCTGGGTTCATCGGGAGGTCCCTGGTCCCCAAATCAGGCCCCGGGCGCATCGGGAGGTCCCTGGTCCCCAAATCAGGCCCCGGGCGCATCGGGAGATCCCTGGTCCCCAGATCAAGCCCTGGGCGCATCGGGAGGTCCCTGGTCCCCAAATCAGGCCCTGGGCGCATCGGGAGGTCCCTGGTCCCCAAATCAGGCCCTGGGTTCATCGGGAGGTCCCTGGTCCCCAAATCAGGCCCTGGGCTCATTGGGAGGTCCCTGGTCCCCAAATCAGGCCCTGGGCTCATTGGGAGGTCCCTGGTCCCCAGATCAGGCCCTGGGCTCATCGGGAGGTCCCTGGTCCCCAAATCAGGCCCTGGGCTCATCGGGAGGTCCCTGGTCCCCAGATCAGGCCCTGGGCGCAAAGAGGGGTGTGCAGCCCCCAGGTGCAGGGAGGGGAAGGTACGGGTACCAGGTCCCCGTAGTGGTTCATGGCCAGGCGGAAGGCGTGCTGCCCCTGCGACTCCTCCCAGTTGTGCTGCTGGATGCGCCGCAGGTTCTTCTCCCAAACCTCTCTGCGAGTGGCCTCGACCTCCTGCCACGAGCCAGAACGGCGGCAGGATCAGAAACGTCCCCGGGGAGCATGGGGACACAGGATGGGGTGTTAGACCCCGGCCCCTAAAGCCATCCCCACATGTGTCAGGAGGCCTGGGGGGAAGCAGGACCTACTTCTGGGTACTCCTTGGCGTGGAGATTCTTCCACCCTTCCCAGGCTTCTTCCAGGGCAGGATCCGGCGCCGTGGTGCAGCCCAGCAGGGCCAGCAGCAGCCCCAGCAGCATGGCCATGGCACCCAGCTGGGGGGGGGGGGAAACAGCAAGAGCGGGGTTGGGGGGGGCCCCAGGCTGAGCCCCATGGTTACCAGCCGGGGCCACGGGCTGGGAGCAGGTTGAGCCCTTCCAAGCCTGGATTAGAGGTGAGGGAGGAGGCAGAGAAATGCAAACAAAGCGGCCAAGCCAGAGGGAAGAGATGTCGGCGCCTCCAGCTGGATCAGCTTTTGCGTGGCCACACTGCTGTTTTGACAGGAGCTTTAGGAGGTCTTAGCTGTCCTTTGGGTGGCATTTAACTGTCCTTTTTAGGAGAGGAACAAGCAACTTCACGAGATTGCCGAGCCTGGATGGCAGGAGGAGGCAAACACAGACAAAAGGGCAGCAAGAGCAGCAGGGATGGTGTTGCCTCTCCCCGCTCGTTTTATTTGCAAAATCCTGCTGGTTTCCTCCGCCACTGGACCATCCCTCTCTTCCCCCTCCCACAGCAGCATCTCTCCCTCTGCAGCAGTAATCCCTGCACCACCCACAAAGAACACACAGCTAATTGCCCCTGCTCGGGGACTCAGCACCCAGCAGGATCGAGCCTCGAGCAAAAGGATGAGTGGGGAAGTCAGGGTCATAGCTGGACCCCCGCAGAGCAAGGTTTGCCTGCTCGCTGGAGCCAACTCAGCTTCCCAGCTCCAACCCAGAGTGGCTTTGGGACTAGAGGCAAAGCAAAAGCTGCAGCCACTGGGCCAGGACAAAGCAGTTTTCCCTTGAAAGCCAGCAGAAATCCGCACCAGCCACAGAGCAAGGGGCTCGAGCTGGAACCAGAGATAAGAGGTTTTTCTGCAGAGGTGGGGAGGCGGAGGAGCCGCTGCTCCACGGCAATGACTGAAGCCTCGCATCTGTCCCAGCACAAAGGCGGGATTGCCCGTGCGTACGTGCTTCAGCAAAATCCCTCCGTGAGGATTTTCCAGTATCAATTTACACCCTTTCTTTTGCCCAACATACGCACGCAGCCCTCCCCCAGCCCCGGCCCGGCTTCTGCCCCCACCAGCCCCCCCTCCACTGCAGCCATTTGTCTTCCTCACATCGCCGTCACACGCCCTGCGCCTCCTTTGATGGACCCTGGTATTTCTGAGTAACTTCAGTTATTCTGGGGGTGCTGCTCTGCAAAGCCACGCAGCACACAGCAGGGCCTCTGCAGAGGAAAGAGATCAAATGCCCGAGACACCCCTAATCACCAAACACACTTTCCACTGACGTGGCTTTCCAAGAGCGAGAGCCCTTGTCGCACCTTTATTCCACGTGCTTTGGGAATGGAGATACTGAAAAGTTTTCCATTCGAGCATCTTTCAGAGCAAGCAGTGGCTTTTCTGAGTTAATTTTGTAGCTCAAGCAGTGGTTTTGTTTTAAAAATAAGTCATCAAGAACATCTGTTCTCCCTCCACATCCTTCACCTAAAAATAAAGCCCCACATGTGGGTTTTTTTGTGGGAGAGATGCTTCCCGAGCCACTCTCATGCTTAATCCCAATTCTTGAGGAACAGTCATTTTTGCTCGGTTTCCCCAGCACCAGTTACAGCACCCGCTGCTTCCTCCGGCCGTTACTGCTCGCTCAGGAAATTAACTCAACTTCAGGCTACAGCTGCAAATCCTCTATCCGAAAGAGATACCACCAACCCAGCTGCACCACCCTTCACACTCCCATTACCTTTCCCGCAGGACAGCTGGGTGGAGGCCTCCCACATTATTTGTCTTTCAATCCCCAACAGAGCCTGTTACATATTGAAAAGCTCAGGATTTGGGTAGGTGATTTCCTGGTTAATGCCTCTCGGGATTCTCAATCCCCAAAAGAAGAAAGCCAACCCCTTTCTATGGCGTCAAATAATCCTACAGCTTCAGAAGCAAGCTTGGGGGGATCAAAGGAGCTGACATTTGTAAACTCTCCTAGACAAAAGCGTTTTAAGAGTGCATTGCAGACATTTTAATAAACACTTGCTCTTTTGGGACAGGAAAAAGCAGTTTAAATGAAGACTGAAAAGAAACAAACCTTGCAAAATAAAGCCTCTTACCATCCACTGGCACCAACCTGGCTCTAAAGAAGGCAGGGAGAACGGGGAGCGACTTTTCTGTCTGTAGATTTCTCTTAAGGAAACTTCAGAGATGTGCAACTTCCTCCCCTTCCGCCCCTCCGACCTCAAAAGCTGCACCAGGGGTTACTTAACAGGGTGCGTGGTAGAAGCTAAAACACAACTGCAATAGTCAGGACAATTATGTGGGCGTGGGGACAAGAGAGGGGCAACAAATACACTCGCATCTATGTTCAGAAAGCCAAACGCTCCAGCTGTAAGATGCTTTTCATTTAAAACAGAAGCCTCCAGCTTGCATCCTCAGGGCATTTAATAGCAACTTAATTAATGCCTGGCTCTCCTATGGAAAGGAAAACAGCAAGGCCAGGTTTTGTGAGCTTTGAGCTCCAGAGAGGGCGAGCATAGGCAGGCCCAGCACCTGCCAAAAGCAGCTCTGCGTGTCCTAGCGTGGGATCAGAGCTGCGAGCGCTTGCAAGTGCTCGGATCAGAGCAGCTGCATCCCCCCCCCCCCCCCCCCAAAAAAAAAAAAAAAAAAAAAAAAAAAATCATCGGAGGGAGTCGGGGCGCCGAGGCTGGTATTCGCAGGCACGAGATGGCTGACTTGCTCAAGGTCATGCAGCGCCTTAATGGCAGAGCCAAGCACACAGTCCAGGATTCCCAACTCTCCACCCTGCATCTTCAATTGCCTGGATCATGCTTCCCCCGAGGACCATGAGGGATTTAATATTCTCTCCACTGCTCAGCACAGAAACCGAACAGAGCGCTTTGCTTTTACCACAGACACAGCTTTGGCTATCGTGAGCCAGCTGCCATTTCCTCCCGAGCCCTCTCCTGCGCTCCCAGAACAGGCACAAACGCCAGCCACCACGTCTCTTTCCAATATTTTAATGAGTCGCTACATCTTACACTCATAATTATAAAAGAATAAGAATCCATAAAAATATTTTCTTTTCATAATACGCACTTAAAATACTCCAGGGCAAGTCAACGTGGTTCATTTGGGTGGTTTTTTTTTTTTGTTTTTTTTTTTTTTTACCTTTTTGCCCCTGGCAGAACCCTTGGCTTGAGGGGGGTATGTGCTCCCCTGAGGTGCGATTGCTCAATCCCCCCCTCCCCAGAACTGCAGTTCCTGTTGACCAGGTAAATAAAAACCAGAAGAGAGCTTTTGCTGAGTAGACGGGCAAGGGGAACAGTCACTGACCCGCAGAGAACTGAAGCACAGCCAATTTCAGTGCACATCTGAAAGCTCAGGGTGTCGGGGAAGGAGAAGGTGGGATCAGGAGGCAGCACAGAGAACGGAGGGAGGGAGGATTTGCATAAATATCATCCATCTTGTGTAGCAAAAACCCAAATGCTGCTGTGATCTCTGGAGAGATGATCTCTGGTTGTAGCCAGCTGCTTCAGCTGCCATGCTACCTGTTGGCACAACTCTGCTTGTGAGCGACCATTAGAGAAAGGTATCAGAGGACGCTGTTACCGACCCCAGCCACTTCCTCCATCTGCTCTGCAAAATTAAACTGAAAAATAGAAAAGACTAGTGTTGCATGCTTCTGTAGAGCTCTCTTCACATCCCAGGGCTCCACATTGTTGCAGCAGGGCCAGGACACAGCAGCAGCAGCGATGAACTCCCCTGGGGCTTAACAGTAGGTAGTTCTCTCTCCCCTCCCGCTCCTGGCTTAAGGCAGCTTGCTGATTCAGCTCTTCCATTTTCAACACAGGCACTGAGTTCTTGCAGGTAAGAGTATGGGAACTGCAGAGGTGCAGTGGAAGGGGAAAAGGATGGGGGAGAGAGAGATGGACACAAACCTCAGCCTCGGGAGACAGACCACTGTCCATTGATTCCCAGGATAGAGGGAGTAGCAGCAAAAAAAGCATTAACAGCCAGGCCGGAGGAGAGGAACAGGACGAGCAGCCGAGCAGGGGCAGACCTCCAGCTTGGAAAGTGAAAGAAGGTGGCACTGTCCAAAAGGAAGGTGCCTTCCACACTCCCCCCTCACTCAAGGCGGGGGGACACCCAGCCCGGACGCGGGCACTCAGCCATTTGTGCTCTGGGTTAGATGGCTGTCGAGGGAGGTGGTAGTGGCAGGGCACAGGAGGGGGAAGGTGAGCTGTCAGTGTCCAGTTTGCAGAGGCTTGTGCTCTCAGAGGTATTCTTGTAGAAAGTGCAGCAGCGTGATTTCATAGTGCTCTCCTGACTCAGGGCACCGAATACTGTGTCTCTCGTTGGGGTAGATCTGTTGCAGAAGCAGAGACAGAGGGCAGTTACCCAGGAGCAGCTCATTCAGCACGGACAAGCCTCCCTCACATCAGCCCTCTTCCCTCAACCCAGTCTCCATCGGGACAAAGAGGTGCCAGGGAAGGTTTAGAACATCAGCTCCCCGCTCCCTGAACGTGCTGGCGTGCGCTGCTCGTCCGCCGGGCGAGTCAGCCACCTCTGCTGCCACCAGCCAAGTGAGACAGTTGAGGAAAGGAACACAGAAGAAGGAAAGTTCCAGGCCTGAGGGCAGGAGCCCTGTTTGCAAATGCTTTTAGATACAGGCCACATTTGCCAGCAATGAAACAGTCACAGTGCCACCTCCCGGCCACCTCCTGGAGTCAAACTAGGCATTTACTGTCACCTACATTGCAAAACAAGGTGTGGGAGAATCTGCCTCCTCCCACCCTCAGAACATACAGCAGAAAACTTTTCCTCTTTTCAGATTTAAGGGGCCTTCCCACTTCACTCTTGTTCCTCCTACCTGCAGCTGGTAAGGTTTTCCAGCCCGGATTAGTTGTGATACCAGGAAGTTGGTGTGAAAAAAGTGCACATTTTCATCCAAAAAGCCGTGGAGGATCAGCAAACGATTTGGCCTGGAGATGAGAGAGAGGATGAAGAAACTACATAAAAAGCTCTGTAGTGGGTCTGAGCAAAGAGCTACCAGTCAGCAAGCCAAAAACGAGCAATGGATGAGCAGTCAGAATGGCGTAAGGCTGTGGACATGGTCCTCAACCCCTCCCTGGCAGAGGGGGAATGGGGGACAACGCCCCAGCTTGCTGCAGAAGGCAGCGACCAGCCACGCGAGTTAAAATTAAATGGGATCAGAATCCACCCGTTCTTTTGGGACTCAGCAGAGCTGCAACCGGTGGCACCGAGCAGGACCCGGGAGCAGGTTTTTAGCAGATCACTCAACCCCACAGTACTCACTCATTGGGAAGCTTTTCTACGTGTAATGCCACAGAGCCAGCCTCATAACCTTGCTGGTTGTTTTCTGGGATATCCATGTACCGCTCAGTATACCCGGTGTCATATGCCATCCAAACTGTGACAGGAGCACCTGCTATAGCAATCTGTCAAACAAATAGGTGGCAGGAGATAGCCTCAATTATCACATGCTAAAGAATTCAAGTGTTCCCCATTTTCCTGAAGAGGCAGGAAAAAGAGGCTCTGGACTGTACTGTCACTCAGAGCGGGATTCTTCTACAGCAAACCCATGTAAAACCCAGACTCTTCCTCTTATGGTCACAATGGGACAAATTCCTGCATACCAGCACTAAGAGCTTCCCCTTTTCAAGAAGGGAATGATCCAGAAACTCAGCTGGGGACTTGAGAAGGGGACTAGGAACAGTGCATCAGTTATCTCATTGGATGCTAGGCTAAGGCCTCCACTGCCAGTCACTGGGAGCGACCCCAGCCCAGCCTCAACAGCATCAGACAGGTATGATCTGTAAGCAGAATGCAGGACTGTAGCCAGGAGCTACAAGCAGGACTGAGGGACATTTTCACCTGTCCATCAGAAACATCAAGCAGAAAAGCCAGCTCCAGATGCCAAGAGTTACAGAAGCTGAGTGCTAAGTGTCCCAAGATGACAGCTCCATGTCCAGACTTACCTTGAAGACATTGGGTTTACAAATAAGACCCATGAGGGAGAGAAAACCCCCATATGACCAGCCATGTATGGCCACCCGACTCAAGTCGATGAACCCGTATTTTTCTGCTACGTAATGTAAACCTTCCACCTGGTCCTCTATCTCCACCTGACCCTAAAAGGCAACAATGAAGCTCGAGTTAGTGGCCTTCTAAATCTAGAAACTTGAGACAGAAAAGACAAGAGCAACACCCACACAGGTAACACGCAGCCAGGCAACCTTAGAAAGAGCAAATGAGCAGAGATTCATCAACAAAAGTAAGTACATCACCATTTGATTTTTCAGGGCGCCTTCAAATTTGAGTCCTCGCTGGCATGAACCCCTTCCATCAATCACTACCACTGCATAGCCCAGGGACGCTAGCGTATTTAGCCGTAAGTACTTGATTCCTTTGAAGGAGTTATTCACTAGCTGCACCTGCGGGAGGAGGAAAGAAAAGTTTCAGAGCTGAGCAGCTGCCTTCCAGTACCTTCCTCTGTCTGCCCCACTGTGTAGGATCCTCAGCTGGACAGCAGCCACTAATCAAGCTATCAGAGCCATGCAAATTGGACTAAATGTTGGAAAAATCACCTGAGGTTTGAAGCAGAGGTCCAGTGCTCATTGCTAACTAAAGTGTAAGTCTTGATGCGTGACCGAGCTACACAGAGCTCTGCCCTGGGCAGCAGTCCCATGACTGACACTAGCAGTTAATCTGGATTATTACCTGAGGGCCTCCATACACAAAGAGCACTGTGGGATGCTTCTTCCCAGGCTGGACATCATGAGGTTTGTAGACCATTCCATAGAGCTCAACATCTGACTGAGTGCGGAAGTGAAAGATCTCAGGTGGGATATAATCCGGGGGACAACCTGCAGAAGGAAGTTCAGACACTAGCAGTGCAGTAACTGGCAGCAGGCTCTGCCTCCTACCCTGCCTGAACAAGCTCATTCTGTTCAAACTTGACCCTAGTCAGGGCTCTTTCAATAGCAAACCATACCAAGCCTTGGCAGTGCCTCTCAGAGAAGCCCCTCACTGTGAAACACAGGGTCTCTATCTGCCTGCAAAGGGCAACAGGGCAAATAAAGAGTGAAGTGACCACGCAAGAAAACATCATCAGCTGGGGGTATTCTCAGACAGGGCACTCTATGCCACAACAGCAAGAAGCGGAAGGTTAAGAACAGAGATGGGTCAAATGGAGAAAACATTTGCAGGAGGGGTTCAAACGCTCCTGTGAGCTGTATGTAAAACTTTATAAAGCCTACAGACTTAGAATGAAGTAACCACTGCATCCCAGATACTTGTCCCCTCC